CCCCATCCCCAGCCCACCCTCAAAAACGAACAAGCCAATCACAGCATTGTGATATTGTTGTCCAATCATATCTCATCTAGTAATTGTCTTGTGATTGGCCTGTTTAATTTTTTTTTGTTACCCCCCTGCTCAAGTCAAAAGTTGACGTTAACCGAAGAATCAACTTCAAATGGCCTTATCGGAAGGGGGAATTAGGGATTTAGTGAATGCGGTATTGGGATTATTATGCGAAGGGATTTATTCTCAAATCTGAGATTTACTCGAACTGAGATTCATTTATTAAAGGGAAAAAGGCAGCGCTTATATACTTTTGCCTTTTATGATATTAATTCGATAAATTCAATAAATTGGATATATCGATATTCGAATTTCTATAAACTAAGGATTGACAATAATCTAATTATACATGTTTGTACTACGTATAAACAGACTAAACAAGAATCTATGGACTAATAATAGGACATCGTACTACGTCGGATCGCAGTATTTCCGGAGGCCCTTTACACTGTCATGTTATGATTTTCATGCGGTTACTCAAACGCAATATATTCAATTATTATTGCTCGATCAGAACTTTATTAATATAACATATGGGATAGGTTCGCTATATCGAAACAGTACAAATACTAATTTACTCATAGATATAACCATACTATTATAGCTATCAAATTAGAGTTCCTCTTCGTGAGAATCACATAGCTATGGCGAGAATCGGCCGGGGAATGGTGTATTTGCTTAGCGGTGGATCTAACGTAGAGAAGGTCCTGATACTGTACCACCGTAGCAACCATGGGGCCTAAACTTTTAACAACATAAGGCCATTGCAGCTTACATACCTGAACATAAGGTCCTTGCCCTTCTATTGCAGCCTTGGAGCCTAAATTATCTGGAAATAAGGTCCTTACACTGCTAATGCAGCGCGGAGCCCATAAAGCAACTTACCTGCTTTTTACGACTCTCGAACTTTCGGATTAGAATTTTAGGTCTTTCACTGCCTTTGCAGTTGTGGAGCCTATACCAATATAAGTCCTTGTACTGCCTTTGCAACCGTGGAGCTTATGAAAAACATATCTTTGTTTCTAGGACTGGGTGGGTAGGGAGGGTAACGGAGCCAGCCCTAACTACTGAGCGAGCAGATTATCAACCCTCCTTGCCCTACGCCACGATTCTCATGCAAAACTCCATAACATTCCCCTAGCCTTAATCAATAATTACCACTTATTCTCAATTCATGGATAACCAAAATTAAAATATTCATATGTCATCCCGGTACAAATCTTGTATCAACAAGACACTAAATAAAACCATTAAACCATAATAGGATGCATATGATTTGCTCCTAAAGTCACCTGATCTCGCAATAATGATTGCTTCGTCACTTCGTTGACAAGCTTCTCATAGAAAGGATGCAAAAAAACTTTATACAAAGTTCAAGTAGCAATAAGTAGCGATACATTAACAATACATTACATTTACTATTTTAATAAGTTATAATAATTTTATTTAGTTAAAAAAAAAAGATCGGTTACGCCTTTTTAGGCTTTAATAATTTTTTAGAATATCTGTTTACATGCCTATATTTTATATAAAAGTAACTAGCAATTTTCAGTAAAATATAACCAAATCCACCACATAATGCAATAGCAACACCATAAACATCATAACCAATCCTCATATCAGGTATAATCCAATCTCTTAATAAATTTGCATTATCAACCCTAAATTCACCATTTTCATCCCTAACACCTTCATACCTTACAGTATTCATAACTATTTCAATTAAATCAGCAGCTCTATGTTTTCTTTTACTATTAACTTTAGCTAAAAATTGTAATCTTTTAGCACTATTTTTAAAACTTTCTTCATTTAATAATCTTTTAACCTTTGATATTATATCATCAACTTCTAAATTAAATTTTGAAATTGTTATGA